ACTCCCGTTTTGTTCCCCAAACGGACGATCCCATCTCCCAGCTTCTGCCTCAGAGTCCCAAGGGGCAGTGTGTGTGCATGTTCGCACCCTCAGGTGCAAACACAGCTCCCGGTCCTGGGCCTTCTGTCCTGGGTGCCCCAAGGGGCATCTAAGGGAGCTAGGAGCCCTTTACTCATTGTTATGCTGGTGCCCGAGTTCTTTTCATCACAAGTTTAAATAGTGGCAAAGATGTAATTTCCGTTATATTGATATGTACTGGTCCTTTAAAATTAAACTTCTATAATACCCTTACAATGAATTATGTGGAGTCTAAATGCTATAGCTATTTGGTATGCTCTATTATCCACTCGAAAATACATGAAACGGATTCTCCTTTAACAGCTGGAAGTTTCATATTATTTCTTTTTTCTTAAATATTTATTTCTATTACTCTTCCATGTAGGAATTTAGCCTGTTATGTAATATTTTGTTTGGAGTTTTTGTCCATTATTTTATCATAGTACTCTGCAAGAAAAATATGCATATGCAAAATTAAAATAATTTTAAAAGTTTGTGTCTATGAAACTGATTTCTTCTAGATTTATTAGTATAATTATTATAAATACATAGTCAATCAAAACAAAATAAAGAAATTATAAAATATGATAAGTAACTGTGAATCATTTTAAGCGAATATTAATAATTATTGAACACAGTAGCCAGAGCGTATTTATTAACGAGGTGGATGCAGCCTTTTCTCCCACTTAGTTACATATTTGTGGGTGAATAGCGCTCATCGCTGGCGTGGGACAGACTCTCTCCCCATCTGCTCCGGTTTGGTGTTTTTATAGATAGAGCTACTGAGAAACCGGTCGACGCAAATTCACAGAAAGGAAGAGGCTGTTGTAGCGATGACACCCACTATTTCGAGCTCCCTTTGAGTTACATGCCAATCATCGCCTGGTGATCTGTCATCAAAGAAAAAGTTTTTACTGGACTATCAGCTCGAGACTCGGGTCCCCTTCGACCTGGCTGAAGGCAGAGTTGGGAGGCAGCGGGCTTGCAGAAGGATTTGTTATCCGGGTACCAGCATCACTTATGGTTTCAAAACTGACAACGATATTGAGATTGTCCCTTCGTTGGCCAGCGATGCTTTCCACCGGGCAGAACGTGGCATCGGTCCTGGTGGGTGGGTGAGTGGGGGTGAGTGAGGAGCCTTTTCCATGACAGGCGCGTGCGGGAGGGAGCTCGGGTCCCAGGCACATTCTCCAACGGGTCAGTTTTAGGAGCAAATGAAGATGGAGGTTGAGGATCTGGAAGTCGACTACTTAAAAAAAAAAAAAAAAGCCTGTCCCGCAAGCCTTTCAAAGCCGCACATTTCCCCTTATTGTTCTAGCGTCAAAGTGCCAGTTAATCTCGCTCTGAGGACTCGGCGCTGGGGCGGCCCTTTGTTGAGGCTGTAACTACTGCTCTCCTTTCGTCAAGACAAAGCCCTCCGCTAAGCGGGGAATCAGCACCCTGCCCGGAGCGCAGGGGCCGCCCCCTTTCAAGAGGCCCGTCCTAAGGAGTCGCCCCCGAGTGAGAAACATAGAGAACGGGGTCACGTGGAGAGGCGCCTGTCGGAAACCGCGGCCCGCGGCCACCACCTTCGCGACGACGCAGTGGTCCCCGCGCGCGCCTGCAGGGTCGGTCCCAGGCGCTCCAGGCAGCTGCAGGCGGGTTTGAAACCGTCAACCAGGGCGCAGAGGCCGAGCCGCTAGGGAGGGCGAGGGCACAGGAGGACTGCATGACGCAGGAAGAGAACCGCGCGGTGGCCTGAACGCAGGTGCTTCTCATGTCCGGACGTTTGAAGAGGCATCACCGAGTTTTTACGGGACGGCCCCGGAGCAGGAGGGGGGCCAGGACGGAGCCCGAGAACCGAGAACCGTTATGGAGACGGTGACCCTCAGAACGCGCGCTCGCGGCCACGTGTACTGGAGGTGGAATGTGCAGAACTTGGGGTGTGAGGGGAGGGGTGTGGCCTGGGCTGCTAACAGGGGTGTGGCTAAGGGACCCGCGGGGAAGGGGCGGGGTCTCCGAGGCTAGCCTCTGACTTCTCGCGGGTTTCGTCCGTTCAAGGTTGGCGATGTTTGGCGGGTCCACACGCGGCGATGCAGACAAGACGCGCATTTGGGACGCGGCGCCGGCGGCCACAGCTGTGGTGCGCTCAGAGCACGGAGCGGAGCGAGGTCGGGGACGCATAGGGCAGACCCAGAGCAGAGCTGTGATGCGGGGGGACGAGGGCGTTTGAACTTCGATGAGCGCCAATGGCACGGAGAGCTGCTCCCGGGGAAGAGGCGAGGGACGGACTGGAAG